AAGGATGTGGCCTCCAAGTTCCTCAAAGGCGACATCGTTTCGTGCGCCTTCACCAGCATCTGCAGGTTCCCCCTCTATGACGCCGATTTCGGGTGGGGCCGCCCCGCGTTGGTCACTTTTCCGGCGCTCTGGTTCAAGAACCTCGTCGCTCTAATGGACGCCACGGATGGCCGCTCCATTCACGCCACTCTTCACTTCGAGGACCGCGTCATGGCTAAGTTCCAATCCGACCACCACTTCCTTAAATACGCCACTCCCCACCCGGCCACCTCAAATTCCCTCTAAAATCTAAATCCCCCACAAATCCAAACCCTACCTTGTGCTCTTTTTTCTTCCCCTCGTCTTGTTTCTTGTTGTTTTCAGTTTGGGCACTGCTTAGAAAAATATTTAGGTGTCTATTGATGAATGATCAGTAAAAACATCTAAAATATTTCTATTTCTACGTTCATTTTAAATGCATTTAATAGACGAGTATTTTTTAGTGGCATAAATTTAAGAAAAAGAAAAAATTAGTTGATCACTTATCTTTTTAAATGCAATAAAAATAGAACATTAATTAAAAATAGATCATATCCCTAATTAATTGGTTGAGGATTTTCTGGATGGAAATAGACATAGACAGTTACACATATTTAAAATCTTTTCCTTGAATAGTTTATTCTCAGTCATCCCTTATTCTATGGACAAGAGCTTTCTTTTCCCTCCCAGATTCATGGGTTTCTCCATCTATCTTCTTTTAAATAATTTTTTTAAATGTAATTATCTACTTTATTTTATTCAAATTAATTAATTAAAATTAGCTAAAATATTAATATTAAATTTATTATTAATAAAAAAACATTAAAATTTTACCAATAATGTACTAAATTAATTATTCTATTGTAATAAAGTAATTTATTAGGGTGTATACTTAATTTTTTTTATAAAAAATGTAATTAATTGATGCAATTAATAGGATGAAAATGATTAATTTTGTTAAACACATAAAATGATAATTATTATGATTGATGGCTAAATAAAATCAACAACATAAATTTAGATATATTATTTATGATATATTTATTAAAGAGTGAAACTTAAATTAAAACATAATTGCTTAAAATAATTATTATTTTAACTTAATAAAGATAAATTAATTAATGTAAATTAATTATTGGTAGTTAATTTTTTATTGATTTTAAAACTTTATACAAATATATCATTTTGCTAAACAGGTATATGTTTAATTTTAGTTAAGTAACATTTAATATTAATTATTCAATTGATTATTGTGCTAAATTGTCAATATAGCTCCATTGTTAAGTTAAAATTTAGAATGCTAATATAAAATATTTTATTTTTTATTTTTTATTTTTATTTAAATTTGATCAATGTCTACAATGACATAAAAGACATATTTCTAGAATAATCGTACAAAATAAACATATATATATAATTAATTTTCAAACATCTTAATCCCAGACATATATACAACCAAACACATTTATCTTTGTTTCCCATGCATCTTATTCCCAGGTATCTAATCTCAGACATCTTAATCTCAGACATCTTTTTTGAAACCTTGAACCAAACGGCCCCTCAGTAGTATAATTACAGTATTTACTGCTTTTTTAATTTGCTTGTAAAGTAATTAATAAATATACTTTATTTCCTTTTGTTACGGTGTTCTATTGTATGAGATTCATTGTCTATTCATCAAAGTGAACATAGCTCAGCGGTAATTGGCGTATATCTCTAACCAAGAGGTTGTGAGTTTGAATTCCCTCCCCAACCTGAAAGTTTGGAAAGTTATTAATTTTACAAATATATATATAAGGTTTAAATAGGGTAAGCCTTTTTAAAAGTTATTAAATTTTAGCTTTTAAACACAACTTCATTTCTTTAGTTTCCTATCTATTTTTTCAAAATATTTTTCAAAATTTAAGTCATGTGTTAGAAAACCGAATTTTTTTTTAATACTTTGTTTTTGTTTTGAAAATTGGTTAAGAATTTAGACTATTTTCAAGAAAAGGGAAAAAGACATCAAATAAATGGTAAGAAACAAACAAAAAAAACTAAAAACTAAAAACTAGAATTGAAATACAAAATTAAGGGTATAATTAGTTTGAAACACCTAATACTAATGAACTAAAATCCATCCCTACACCTTTTTAATTTATTCATATCACATAAAGTAATCCCAATTTTAAAAATATTAACTAACGAAAGGACCACTTTTTTTTTATTAAAAAAAGATATTTTGCCAACTTATAATATATTAAAAATGTGATGTCAATTTAAAATATTTAAAAAACCCTATATATATGCCACATTATGGTATGATATTATATTGTAAACATCGTGTGTGATGACAAAAATAGATCTTCTCTAATCGATTATTTTGTATGTACATATATACAAAAAGATAACATTTAATTATTTGCAAATTGGAGACCAACAATGTCTTTGGGTTTCATGGACCACTATTTTCTAAATTTCTTACGTAGAAAAAACAATTCTTAATTACCTAATTGTACGAACCCTACATTATTTAATTAATGCCTAATTACCTCTCAAATCGACCAAATCTTTTTTTTTTTTTTTTGACAAGCTCTCAAATTGATCAAATCATTTTAACCTAATCAGTACTTTTTGAATATTTTAATCTGTCACTTCCAATAGATATTTATATTAGGGTTGACCTCATTTTTGTGTAGCTTCACACTGGTACATACAAACACTAAAACACAACTTAATTAATTAATCAAAATTATTTCTTATATTTAATTACAGACACTTTGTATCCTTGTGGATATATATCCAGCGATGGATAAATTATGATTATTTGAATTAGGATTCCACGTTAATATTCATCGGTTACATTTCAAAATCAATTGACTATAAAATGAATATTTCATATCTATTATAAACTTTTGTAAGTTCTTTTTTCTTTCTAATATGGACCATTGACAATGTTAGTGTGGATCTAACCATATTAAATCATTTTTCTTGAGCAAAATGCTTATACGGTAAAAATGATACGATTGTGATAACACATTTGGTGAGTTTTTGAAGTCGTTTTTTATTTGAATGCTATATTGGGAGAAATTCATCTGCCTGAAACCGTTCTTTTTTTTTTAACCATTAACATTTCTTTTTCGATCTCACACATAGATAAAAAAATGGATCTTTTGCAAACTGTCTTTTTCTAAAGAGGCATTTGTCAAATTTACAAATGCATATACATGCCACGTCTAAAATGTCGACATTATGGATAGTTTTGAAAAAAAATATAAAAATAAACAATTCATGACAAATTAACCTAAGAGTTAAAAATTATTAATATTAATATAATGTACATAGTAGTAACATTTTATCCATTTCTTTACAATTTTACATTTTATGAAAGTATCGATTTATCTCTTATATCGATCTCAAACAATAAACATATAAATATATCGATGAAAATGTCAACGACAAATTTAATACATAAGTTACATATATCATGTCATACATACTAACTCATGAAACTTCTTAATCTTTATTTCAAACCAATCAACGATGATTACAAGAAAACACCTTTTATCAATGCAAATGTTGATACGATAGTAAAAAATATAACCAATTTGAACATATATATGTATAAAATTCATTAAAATATATATTTTCGACTAAAAATTCGGAAGTGATGGGCTGAAATCAAAACCCAGATAGAAAATTACTTATTTAGTTACTGGCAGTTGGATTCAAAGAAAGCAAAGGATAAAAGCTCTTGATTTTGCAGAAACGCAGCCATTTGGTTGTGCCCCAATCCCACCAAGGCCTCAATTCCGCCGCCGCTTTTGGCGTCCAACATCATCACCGTATTCTTCAGCCGGAACGCCGCCATGGTGACCCACGCCGCCGCTCCCCACCCAAAATCCACTTCATAAATCGGAAATCTGCACCCACTGCTGAATCTGTACACCTCTTGGTTTCCACCATTTTTGGTCAGAATTTCTCCCGATTCCTTCAATCGCTTCTTTATCGCCTCGCCCCACTCCTCTGTTCTGTACTTTTTGGCGTATTTGTTGCAGAAATCTGCCATTTCGTCCCTCATTTTCCCCACCAGCTCGTGTAATTCCACCTCTTTCTCCCCGCCGGCCGCCACCGGGAAGAACGACACCAAACTTCCGACTACATTTTCCGGCAGCGGCGGCGCCACTCGTGTGCGTAAATTTAGCGTCTGCAGCATTAATGAATTGGAAGGGGAAGGGGATGCTGAAATCAGGGTTTTGTAAATCAATGCGGACACAACTTCCACGCGGCTTGGATTCTCCACTTTGTCGGAAACTGAGTTTTTGAGCGCTTCGATCTTTGAACCTTCGAACACAATTCTGTCAACAATATCAATAAACTGTTAAGCATTTTTTTTATAGCCAAATTCGAATATAAATAAATTATTAAATTTAGTTTTAAATCATATTTTGATTGTTCTAAATAAAAATCGACCCTAACTTTCTAAATTTTTCTATTTTTTTATTTTCGGTTTGAACTCTAAGAAATTATTTCAATCGTTATCACCCCGTTCTAATTTCATTCTAACATATATGACTAATATATGTTCATGTTAGTACAACATCACAATACACTGTATTATCTAGTTCTTAA